TGAAATTACATCCTTGAATACCAATCCGTTTCAATCGTTTTCAGTCGGTGTAATCGTTATAAATCCGTGATTTCCGGATCAAGAATCCAGATTCATGCGGATTCAAAATTTTTAATCGGATTCAATCGGTCATTCTTAGCAGGGCATGTGGCAACGCCGCGCCGTGTAGTGTTTCTTTCCACAGCACTATTCTTTTGCAAGCAAATCTCCCGTTATCGAAATTGTTTGTTACCTTCCATTATTTTTCAACATAAACACAATACATAACCTCACTCAAACACATGGCACTGCTGGCATGATAGCTGCCTACAGCGAAGAGATGCAATGTCGCGACATTTCTCTTGTACGAATGTCAACTGAAGTCAAATCTTGAACTGTTTACATTTATCAGTAGATAAATTGATACGTCATCGAATGAAAAGTTACATTATAAAATCAGTAAATATACAAGTGTCTAGAATATATCCATAAAAATGGTTTTTCTTAAAATAAATTTTAGGCCTTATATTGACTCATATGGTACATGGCCCAATCACCTTAATAGCGCTTTGAACATGCATCGGAACGCGGCCTAATTTGATTGGCTCACCCCTAGGTTCGCCATTTTGCCCACCCTACAAGTTTCCAGACCTGTATGTAAGACCGTGGTCTGCAATCAGAATTAATATGAACGTTTTAAAAATTATTTTATACTGAAATAAATAAATATACAGGCTAATAAGCCTGTAGCTATAAGCGATAGTTGCTAATTAAGTTTGTCACTCATATTTCCATCTTGCAGAGGACCTCCGTAACGAGATCAAAGATGTACACCAGCTGTGCAGGGTGAAGAGGTTATCTCAAACGCCCTTAATTGGGCCACAGTCCAATTAAGAGCGACTCAAATGCTAGTTAGCTAAGTCTAACTAGCTCATCTTCATGAAACTTTACGTTGCGTGCGTCTATTTAATGACGATGGATGTAGAAAGCTCTTCAAATCACTTCGAGAGGATTATCAAAAGCGATCTCCTTATATCGCATATTTAATCAGATGTCGTCAGGGATTGCTGTCGACATTAGCTCACTTAGATAGGTACTGTTTATATATAAATATCATCTTTGTATGTAATGTATAAGTAAATGTAAGATGTTTAAATGTAAGATGTTAACCGTTTAATAATATTTTTCAGATTATGCGTGCGAGTTATGTGCGATCGGGATGCTATCAATAATCATCTTGTATCCGTTTGTGTGAGGGTATTTTTGGAAAAAAAGAAAGCTTTCCTCCTGCGAAGAGTTTAAAAAGCTTACGCTAGCTGACGAGAAACAGGATCTCGTGGATAATTTTCTAGGGAAAGTCCACGTGGAAATGGACAACGATCCGATTTGGCAATGTACATGAATATAATTATTTATCTCGCAATTGATCTTAGCGGAGTGCTCAGAGACGTCTGAACTTACTTCTTACTTTCAGCGGCAAGCGCCAACCAGTTAGATTTGGCGAGAGTCGTGGTGGAAAGAACCGTCATGGCACGGGTATACCACAATGCGCTCTATCTAAATGAAGATGGAGATGTATATAGGGACCAGCTTTTTCACGGTCATATCAATAAGTTGGCAAAGGTCGTAACTTCAAATCACAGGGACCTACGCATTTCAAAAGTTTATCATTACGAATGCCCCTGGTCATGGGCGCAGGCTGAATTGACTGTGATATCGGCGTATAAGACTCCTAGGGATAAGTTGCAGTGTGTATTTTGTTGCGCGACTACCATCATGAATCTCTTCTCCATGGCATCGGAAAGAGGCATACCTGCTGCCGACGATCTGACTCCCGTGCTGGTCTACAGGTATGTCATAATCAAGGTATGCGATTGAAAAGAGAATTGTGATTTTAGCAAGAAGAGTGATTGTTAACGTGTGCTTAATTTCAGACTAATTCGCCGTCGTTGTATCGACTGTTCAATATGTAGACAGCTTTTACGGGAATCGATTGGAGGGAGAAGAACAATATTGGTGGACGCAGTTCTGCGCCGCGATCGAGTTAAAACAATGGATTAACAGTTTCTCAAGAGTATCACGATAAATAAGATTAGATTCGATGCTGGTGATAATGTAGAAATGTATCATAATCATAATTTGACGATTTCATAAAGAAGAAGACCAATATCTTGTGTAAAGCTAGCTAAACAGTTTTATGCTTCCAGTATCAATTAAAATTCTTAAATAGCCTCTTAAATAGTCTAACTGTTAGTTCTTTCGCACGTTATTATGTAACATTAGCAAAGACTGAATCAGATTATACGTAAAGTGTGGCTTTATCTTTATTTGTAACTCTATTGTACAATGTCACAGGACATCGAAAAAAAAAA